ATGCATTGTTTCCCCAGAGTGAATCTGGACCCTGATAGGAAATGGGCCTCACTCACACAGCCATGGGTCTAGGATACACACATGCCCTGAACACGCAACAGGAAGAGGAAGAGGTTTTGATACCCTGCTTTTCGCTATTAAGGAGTCTCCTTGCAGGTTACAATCACCTTCCCTTCCTCTCCCCACAACAGGCACCTTGTGAGGTCGGTGGGGCTGAGAGAGTTCAGAGAAAACTGTGACTGGCCCAAGGTCACCCAGCAGGCGTCCTGTGGAGGAAGGATTGGGGAATCAAACCCAGTTCTCCAGATTAGAGTCCACCACTCTTAACCACTACACCACACCGCTCAAAGGCTACCCGTCCTTTCTTCTAGAAAGTTTTGTGCACACAAGTCTTCAAAGAAGCAACTGTATTTAGTGCTTTTGAGTAAGTCATAAATAAAACAATTTCTGCGCACATTTTTTGGAACAGTATCTTTTTGCTGTTGTTTGACATTTCCTTCAACTTTGCCAGAAAAGCCACAGTAATGTCCATATTTTTTAGACGAGTCTGTTAAAAGGGGCCACGTTGGTACCTTCCAACAAAAAGCCACACATATCCTAGCTCTTAAAAATGAAGGGCTTAGTTCACTGTTTGCGATTGTGTTGTTAAGATAACCCAGTATGGCTATTCGGGGGTTACGGAGGACATCATACCATTTCTCTAACAACACTGAAGACTAGGGATGGGCACAAACCGAGAAAATGGAGACTCGTGGTTTGTGGGGTTTCACTAACCATGAACCTCCACAAACTTTCCTGGTTAACGACCAGGTCATCATTCGTGGCGTTCAGGGGAAGATCTCAGATCTTCCCTCCCTCCTTTCTTCTGGTGGCGGCTCCTCGAGGCCAGCAGAATGGAAGGGAAGGGAGATCTTGCAAAAGCAATTTAAAGGGAATATTCCCTTTAAATTACTTTTGCAAGCAGGCGCTGCATGCGAGTGATGTCCAAGCGATGAGTTCACCACTCCTGGGTGAACTCACCACTTGGACATCACTTATTCATGGCGCCTCCTGGCTTTTGCAAGTGGGCATCATGTGCAAGTGAAGTCCAAGTGGCGAGTTGGTGAACTCTACCGCAAAGGGCATCTCAGTTTTCCCTATATCCCCCACCCCACATTATTTCCTGCAATCCCCGTATCCTCACCTTTCCCAGCTTCCTCCTTTCCTCCCTACCAACCAACCTACCTACCTACCTACCTACCTACCTTTTACCTCCTCCATCTTTAGCTATATTTATTATTTATTTACTTCATTTATATTGCACCTCTCTCCAGAATGGAGACCCAAAGCAGTTTACATCATTCCCCTCTCCTCCATTCTATCCTCAAAACAAGCCTGTGAGGTAAGTCTGGGTGAGAAAGAGTAATTGGTTCAAGGTCACTCAGTGGGCTTCTACAGCAAAGTCTCCCAAACCCTAGTCTGAAACTCTATCCACCACACCACACAGACTTTCTTGGGGGATTGCTATTGAACAGCAGCACGCAGCCAGGCCTGGCGGAATCATGAAAGTCGTGTTGTATCAAGTCACCTGGTCATTGCTGCTGGCTCTGGTCCTGATACATCCTCCCTGAAATGTCAAAAAAGCACTGGAAAGGGCCATGCTCCCTCCCCCTGCCTTTAACTGACAGAATCCAAGGCTTGGAGAGAAACAATACTGTTGTGGTTGCCTAGCAGCAGCTATTGAGGGCATTTTGTTTTTAAAGCTGCTTCTAATAATTCGGAGGGAAGATCTGGACTAGGTATTACAAGCTGTGGCTGGATGGTTGCAACAGAGCCGACTGAGGTTAAATCCATCTAAGACAGAGGTCCTACACCTGAGTTGCGGGGGACTGGGATTAGGAATCAGGCTCCCAGCCTGCAATGGGGCTCCACTGGAGCCAACGTCGAGGGTTAAGAGTCTTGGGGTGTTCCTGGATGCCTCCCTTTTTATGGAGGTCCAGGTCTCCACCACTGCCAGGTCTGCCTTTTTTTATCTGAGGCAGATCAGGCAGTTGCCCCCATCTCACCCCCTAGAACCTGGCTTCAGTGACTCATGCAACGGTCACTTCCTGATTGGATTATTGTAACTCTCTCTACATGGGGCTGCCCTCGACTCTGCTTCGGAAGTTGCAGCTAGAGCCGAACATGGCAGCACAGGTGTTGATGGCAATGCCTGTGTGGGCTCGCATCCACCCAGTGCTGCGTGAAGTGCACTGGCTGCCTATTGAATACCACATCCATTTCAAGGTGCTGGTGCTTACCTTTAAAGCCCTATAGGGCCAGGGGCCAGCATACCTTCGGGACCACATCTCCCTATATGAGCCCCATAGAGCACTGAGATCTACAAATCAACACCTTTTGGTATTCCCCAGCCCCAGGGACGTCCGACTTGCCTCAACTAAGGAGGCCCTGGCCTCTGTCTGGCGGAATGAGCTCCCGTATGAGATCAGGCCCCTGTGGGACTTACTACAATTCTGCAGGGCCTGCAAGACAGAGCTCTTCCACCAGGCTTTTAGTTGCGGCAGAGGACGTCCCCCTTCTTCTGGTTTGCCTCCCATCAGTGTCCTACATTCGAACAGCTACCTGGGAAATCACACTATGTTTCCATCTTAACTGCTGAGACATTTTCCCCCCAATTTTAAAGTATTAAGATCAAGTATAAAACTGCTGAGACAGTTGATCAGATCTTGCACGGTATTTTATGACTTTTGTACTGTTTGAATTGGTTGTTTTAAATTGGTTTTAATTGTTACTGTAAATTGTATTAATATTGATGGGACCAACTCTGAGCCTGTTTGTGGGGAGGGTGGGATACAAATCCAATAAAATAAAAATAAAATAAAATACCCCCCCCCCATTTTTTTAAAAATTCAGATTTTGCTGCAAACCTGGGGTATTTTTCAGATTTGTAGAAAGATCTGTTTTCTCTGTTCATGACTCCATCCTCTGGATTTATGTATCCATAGGTCTGGCCATTATTAGATATGTTGAGATGATACCTCAGGCCCAACCAAACATGCTGGCAGGGCAAGGTGCAGCCCTCAACATGCATGGAAAGTTTATTTAAAAAAACTCTCTACAAGGTATGAAAAGGGTTCTGCGTAACTCCAACTTTGCTACCCAACTCTGCCCACACGGTGCAATGAAGGGAGTTATTTGAATCAATTTTTTGGTCCTATATTTTTGGGAAGGCATTACGGTTGACCTTTCTGTAACTATAACAAAATGAAAATAATGCCATTTCTGAACTCCCAGGAAAACTGGCTCCAGACTAAACATAGCAAACGAATTTGTTTGGGTCTCTCTTAAGTTACTCCAACAAAACTTGTATGGAGTGTATAGTTTGCAAACCACAGCTATGGGCACCTTCATATTTATTTATTTAATCACAGTTTATACCCTGCCTTTCTGCACTCATCAGGGCTACCAAGATGGCAAGCAGATTAAAAACATGCATATTAAAAACATGTCTTAAAAAACCCCAGTAAAAATGGTTCAATACAACTTAAACCAAAGCAAATATACATACAAAAGTATAAAAACCACAATTGAAACATAGGGCAGGAAGGAGGACACATAACAAAGAGATCTTTACCCACTGGGGGAAGACGGCAATAGAAGGGGACAGACGAAACTCCCTGGGGAAAGAGCAGCAGGGTTTTGGTGCCACCACGGAGAAGGCCTTCTCAGGGGTTGCCACTTGGTTAACCTCAGGAAGTGGGGGTCCCTGAAGCAGAGCCTCAGAAGGTGACCACAGTGGTCAGGTAGGGAGCAGGCTGATAAACAGTGGTCCAGGCTGCTGGCCAGCTCTCAGGGTGGGATAAATGCCTCAACTGGGGTGCCTAAAGACATCATCAAGGCAGCTTTGCAAGGGATGCAGCTTGAAGCTGCAACACCTCTGCCGCTTAACCCCTCTCCCTGAAGCCACTGCCCAAGGCAGCTGGAAACAGTGGGGCAAGCTGCATGTGGCCAATGGGGCTTCCTGAACTCTCATGAAAAGAATCCTGCAACTGTTCCAGTTTGGGGGGGGGGAGGAGGCAGGGACAAAGGAGACGGTGGTGGCAGCGAGGAAAGGGCGGAGGCAGAAACTGTCACCCTCCCCTCATCCACCAACTGAGGCCACAATGCTTTTCACTTCTTTATTTCATTTATACCCCACCTTTCTCCCCAATGGGGACCCGAAAGCGGCTTGAGTCATTCTCCTCTCTCCCATTTGATCCTCATAACAACCCGGTGAGGCAGAGAGAGTGTGACTGGCCCAAGGTCACCCAGCAAGCTTCCATGGTATGAGTGCGAATTTGAACCTGCGTCTCCCAGATACTAGTCCAGCACTCGTAACCAGTGTTCCCTCTAAGCTGAGTTAGTGTGAGCTAGCTCCCAGTTTTTTAGCCTCTGGCTCAGACATTTTTGTCTTAGCTCAGGAAGGATGGCTAAAGAGTAAACTAATCTATGCAGTAGCCAAATTGCTCGCTCACAACTTTAATGCTAGTAGCTCACAAAGCAGAATTTTTGCACACAAGACTCCACAGCTTAGAGGGAGCATTGCTCGTAACCACTACACCACAGTGGCTCTCTAGTTGCACCTTGCTTCATTATAGAGCTGGCCCTGGAGACACCTCTGCATCCCCAGTAGACAGAGCCAGTTGAGGCGACATCTTTATGAAAAAGAAATATATATATCTCCAAGGAGAGATTTCCCTTGCGAGGAGAACAAACTTCCCCAGCACTGGCTGCCGTTCAGTGAAATGTGCACATTTGGATCTTGGTGCTATTCACGAGAAAGCTGTCACGTGAGCAAAGGGGGGGGGACTGCAAGGTGAGAGCAGGCGATGGGGCGCTCCTGGGCCTCCCTGAGAGCCCCGACTCCTCTCTGCTCAACATGCCAGGTGGTTTGGCCCTTGAAAGCCACCAGCCTTCTGAGAGGAGGCTGACAAGAAGCTGGCAGGCCCCAGGCTCCATCAAAGCCAGCGCCCGAGTCTTACTTTGTGAAAGAGCTGGAGAAGAGTCCGATGAACGCGATCGCTGCTCCAGAGGCGGCCGTCGTCCTGCAGCCGATCCGGTCAGTGAAGATGCTCACGATGGGGGAGCAGAAGAAGATCATCCCCATGCCCAAGGATCCGACCCACGCTGCAGGGGGGAGGGGGAGGAGGGGGAGGAGAAATTCAGTCTTGGCGGGGTCAGCTGAGCAGCAGCAAGATACAAGCCCGGGTCAACGCCCGGGTCCTAAAGGTCAGAGCGAGACCCGAGTCCAGGAGCACCTTCAGGATCATGCAAGATTGTCAAGGTAGACGCTTTCAAGAATCCGAGCATCATCCGTGACGGGAGCCTCCGTTCTCAAGAGCTCATGCCCACCCCACCCCCGATCTTGTTGGTCTCAAAGGTGCTGCTGGACTGGAACTTAGCCCTTCTCCTGCAGACCAACACGGCTGCCCTCTGCAAGGAACGGAGAGACAAGCCCAGGTCTGTGTTACAGGCCTATCCTATGGAGCCCAGAAGGAGGATCTCCCTCTTCCCAGAACAGGGGTTCCCGCCACAAGCTGCACCAAGCAGCCCATCTTACTTCAGAGGCTTCTAGCATTTGCAGATAAACTTTTTTCTTTCTTCAACTGCCCACTGCGTGCATATTTCTCTCTATGGCTCTTCTGTTCCCTTAAACGGCTGCCATTTTCTAACATCTGGCCCCGGTCACACCTTGGAAGGTTTTGGCCCGGGAGAGGGACGGATCGGGGACAGAGCAAACAGGCGCGATCTCACCGCAACATCTGGGAAATGGCGCGCACCCGTCTCCGATCCGGCCCTTCAGGCCGAAAACCCGCAGTAAAAAAGAACCACCCCCAGAGGAGGACTTACCGGGAACGCCGCATCAAGCGCGGCCGTGGGATCACCACCGCGCCTGTCATCTGGAGCAATCCAGGCTCCCGGCCGAACTGCGCATGCGCGCACATGCGCAGTTCGGCTGCCTTGCTCCCCTTTCAGTGGCTTCCCTCCGGCATCTGATTGGGCTGGGGAGGAAGTGCGCGGCGGCTCAGGGGATCTATGTGATCCTGCCGCCGCGTGTCTCTTTTGGTGCGGCTTTAAAAAGCCGCACTTTGCCAGTGCTCCCCCCCCCCCGTGTGGCAGGGGCCATCTTCTCACTGTCCAGTTCCAACTCACCCCTATCTATTTATACTCCCTGACTAGCTGAGCGTCATTCCAAACAGCAGCTTTTCAGCTTCTGATGGCTTTTCCCCTGGGAATTAGTATCAAAACAGCCATAGAGCAGCTTTTAAATGGAGCAGCAGCAATCTTTGTTGTGTTTTGGTTCACACAAGGCCTTTTTCGTACCGAGTCAGCTGCTCCCAAAACCTTCCCCAGTACCCAGCACCATTCCTTCATCCATACACTCAGACTCCAAATTTCCACATGTCTAGCTGACCCTGAATGCAGAAAAGGCAGTATTTCTAAGGAACTCTAGGTTTTTTTTCTTTTTTTGGCGTCAAGTCACATTCAACTTTCAGCAAGCCCTGGTGGAGTTTTCAAGGCAAGAGACCTTCAGAGGTGCCTCACCATTGCCTGCCTCCACGTCACAACCCTGGTATTCCTTGGCGGTCTCCCATCCAAATACTGACCAAAGCCGACCCTGCTTAGCTTCTAAGATCTGATGGGATCAGGCCAGCCCGAGCTACCCAGGTCAGGGCAACCTCTAGCCTGGCAACCTAACTTTTTTTCCTCCTGGATTTCCCAACTTCCTTAGTGTCAGTGTGCACCATGAGCACCGACTCCTCCGCTGCACCACCTACCAGCCTATCTAGACAGTAAGGTAACACCCACAAACATCACCCCAGGCTAGCAAGTCAATTTGCTGTCAAAGATTATGGGGTGACTAAAAAGAGAGAAAGAAAGAGTTATACTTAAATGCTTGAATGTTTGCAATTTCTGAAGGTCTTCTAAACCTTTCTTCTCAAGACACAAAGAGATGCAATGTCAGGAAGGCCTCCTGTTTTATTTGGGAGGTGCCACCTACACTTCAGAACGTCTCCGCTCCGCACCTAACTGAATTTCCTGTGCGTAAAGAACAGTCAGTTCCCCAGTAGCCTCAAGACCTGCACAAAATAGTATGCTATAAAAGAAAACTAAAATGGCCAGTGGACTCAAGTTCACCCCTCATTCTTCCCAACATGCTGTTGTAAGAACAGACAAATTTTCTCAACTAATTACAGGTTGTTGGGATTTCGTTTTGTTTTTCTTGCTTCCAAGAACCAATTTATTCAAAACCTTTTCTGTAATAAACTGAGACTGGATAATAAAGGACAGAATAATTGAGAAACAGGAGGGCACCTCGGGGGATCCACTTCACACCAACAGTCTTGTTCAGGCTGGGAACAAAATATAATTAGAGAAAGGGCAGGGGGGGGGGCAGACCCAACCGCAACCAGGCCTCCTTAGTTATGAACAAGGGGCACAGTGTGTAATCCAAGCCCTTCTAATAGGATTACATGGCCCCCTTCCAAGCAACTATCCCAAACAGCTACAGAAATGAAAAAAGAAGGGTGGAAAAATTAAGGAGCCAAGATTAGAAAGACTCGTTAAACTGGAGAGGGCCAGAACTCTTCTTGCCAACTGACGCCAGAGCAGCGAAATGTTACATGGCCACTGCAGGGCTTGTAAGCGAGGGACTGCTGGGGTTGTTAGGGGAAATTACTCCCTGAACATGGAAACAAAAGCATCAGGGAGAAATTCCATTTAATGGGCCAGGTTCAGAATGCAATTAAGATGGATTTACACACGAAGAGCTGCCGTTGGAACCTGGCCCAGGTTCAGACTCGTGGGAAAAGATCAAAAAGCTTGACATGAAGTTCAGAAAACGTTTGTTTTTTGTTTTTTAAAAAGAAAACTCTAGAACTGTGGGCTAACTCAGATTTCTCTTTTCCCATTGAAATGTGCTTCAGAAAAAGAAGAGAGAAAGAAAGGGGAAAGGGGGAAATAGACTTCCGCAACACATGGTGAAAGACTAAGTTCTGCCTCCAACTGAGAACAAAACCCGCACGGCAAATCCATAAGAAACTTTTTAAAATACCAGTTTTGTCCAGGATCTGCACTCTGATCTGGCTACTGACAGTTCTTAGAAAACTGGAATGTCCTGTAGTGCATATGCTTCCCTGTCATTCTCTGGTTCATTTCTATGGCACTTCAAATTACATAACATGTACTATCCAATTGCTAAAGGTCAAGGTTTCCCTTGCTCGAAAGCCAGTCGAATCCGACTCAATGGGGCGGTGCTCATCTCCGTTTCCAAGCCGAAGAGCCAGCGCTATTTGAAGATGCTTCCGTGGTCATGTGGCCACTGAGGCGCATGGAATGCTGTTACCTTCCCACCGAAGCGGTATCTATTTATCTACTTGCAATTTCTTGCTTTCGAACTGCTAGGTTGGCAGGAGCTGGGGCCAGACACGGGAGCTCACTCCGTCATGTGGCACACTTAGGTCTTGAACTGCTGAACTACAAACCTTCTGGTCTGCAGTTCAGCATCTTAACCTCTGAGCCACCACGGCCCCTCCATCCAATTGTTTACCCTATATAAATCTACATAAAATAGTGATGAACACTGGAACATCCTCTACGCAGGGCTGCCTTTGAAGGCATCTTGGAAGCTTCAGCTGATACCAGATACACCCACAGGATTCCCGTTTGGAGCCAGTCATTTGGAAGGCGAACCTAAACAGCATGATAAAAAGTAGAGACATCATCCTGCCAACAAAAGTCCGCATGGTCAAAGCAATGGTATTCCCAGTAGTCATGTATGGCTGCGAGAGTTGGACTATAAGGAAGGCCGAGCGACGAAGAATAGATTCTTTTGAACTATGGTGCTGGAGAAGACTCTTGAGAGTCCCTTGGACTGCAAGGAGATCAAATCAGTCAATCCTAAAAGAAATCAACCCTGACTGTTCCCTGGAAGGCCAGATAATGAAACTGAAGCTCAAATACTTTGGCCACCCAATGAGAAGGGAGTACTCACTGGAGAAGAAGACCCTGATGCTGGGAAAGATCGAAGGTCAAAGAAGACGGGGACGGCAAAGGATGAGATGGTTAGACAGTGTCATCGATGCAACGAACATGAAATTGAGCCAACTTCAGAGGACGGCGGAAGACAGGAAGGCCTGGCGTGATCTGGTCCATGGGGTCGCGAAGAGTCGGACTCGACTGTGCGACTGAACAACAACAACAACAACAATTTGGAAGACATCACTTAGGGCTGTTGTCAGGATCAAGCAGAGGAGAGGAGAGCAATATAAGCTGCACTGAGTCCCCACTGGGGAGAAAGGCAGATATAAATGAAGTAAATCAATACATGTGGTGAAGTTTGTGGAGCTAGGTTCAAGTCTAGCAGCACCTCAGAGACCAACATGTTTTCCAGGGTACAAAGTTTCTAGAGTCCAAGCTCCCATCCTCAGATACGAAAATGAAATTTGGGAAGTAGATTGTGAAAGGTTCAGGTCACTAGTTCACCCACGTTCAGCACTGTCTCTTCGGACTGGAAGCAGCCATCCGGGGTTCGGGGCCAAAGGCCCTTTCCGGCATCTGCTACAGGGCATCCTTTAGTTTGGTGTAGAGAGAGCCAGTCTGGTGTCGTGGTTGAGTGCGCGGACTCTAATCTGGGAGAACCGGGTTTGATTCCCCACTCCTCCACTTGCAGCTGCTGGATGACCTTGGGCAAGCCATAGTTCTGATAAGAGCTGTCCTTGAAAAAGAGCAGTTTCTGTCAGAGCTCTCTCAGCCCCACCCACCTCACAGGGTGTCTATTGTGGGGAGGGGAAGGGAAAGGGGTTTGTAAGCCACTCTGCGACTCCTGAGTGAAGGGTGGGGTATAAATCCAATCTCTTCTTCTTCTTTAATAGGGACGACAGGGACTGAACCTGGGACATTCTGTCTGCAAAGGTTATTGTGTCATCAATGAGTCACAGATTGCAGCTCTTATGTCACTTGAGAGAATCTAGGCCTCCATCTTCACAGATCCACACTGGGCAATGTTTTGGGGGATGCTTCCCCCCCTCCTTTTCTTTTTACAACTGAATTTCAAAGAAATCTTTTAGTTGACTGCCCCAAATCACCCATAAAAACATCCTCAAT